TTTATCCATGTTGCTATACATAAATATCCAAATGAGTGAAAATGATTCACAACCTTTAAGCTTTAGAAAAATAGAGTGAAAACAAAAATGAAGAACCAAAACTGATCTAAAAATGATTCAGAAGAAGCAACAGTAGCAATTGCAGATTTGCAGCAAATTAAACATCACCACAATTCCTATACAAAAAAATACAACATTATACAATGAGGAATTATACAAAAAAAACATAAAATCCTATATTCTATATAATTAATCAGACTCCTCGGAAAAATATAAAACAATTTAAATACATATAAAATCCTATGTTCTATAAATTTCATATTTGCTCTTATGGCTTAACTCCACCCTCTTCTTTAACAATAATATTTGTCTTCCAATTTGCTACTATATTTTTTTCAAAATTACAACAAAATAAAAATTCAATGAAAATTTATAATTTTTCCCCGACTCTACAATTCAAGACTATGCAAAAAAAAGAAGATTAAATCATCAATATAAAATTCTTAATTTTTCTGAAAAAATCAAAAAAAAAAAAAGGAGAAATCGAGAAGAAGAGAGAAGAGAGAATTAGAGAAGCGAGAATTAAAAAGGAGAGAGAAGAGAGAAAAGAGATGAGTCATACCTAGAACAAGGACGAGAGAAATCGAACAGGCCGGATCGTATGAAGAAGTTGAGAGACGTGAGGCTGAAGATGACCGACAGAGTTGAGCGAAGAAGAGGAAATAGAAAAGGGCAAGGGGTACACCAAAAGACCAAAGGTCTATCCCATTTGTCCCACACCCCTATCTCCACCACTCAATTAGATTTTATTTTTCTTTATTTAATTTTTTTTAATTCTCTTGCCTTATTGTGTGGTTATGGATGGGGTAGGGGACAAATGGGGTACCTTTTGGTGTATCCAAGATATCCCTCCCTTAATTTTCCAAAAAGTCAAACTGTCTCATTCTTTTTGGGACGGAGGGAGTATGTTATAATAAGTTCGGATCAGTTTAGTTCGAGTCAGTTCGGTTCCAGTTTCATTTTGGTTTGACTGGTTTCGTTTCGAGTTTGTATCTGTTCGAACTTGTACCAGTTTGAGTTTATATCAATTCTGGTTTGTATTGATTTAGATTTATATTAGTTCAAATATATTTTAAATATTTACTAATAAATCAATAATATCACATAATAAATTAAATCAATTTATGATATAGACCATAGTTATTTTATTATTTAACATGGATGTACATAAAATTTAATCAATTTTGGGTCTAATCGGTTTCGGGTTTAACCGGGTCTGAGTTTAATCAATTCGGGTTTAATTGGTTTGGGTTAAATCGGATTCGGATCTGAATCGGTTCTGAATACATTCGATTCGAGTTTGGTTTGGTTTGAATCATTTGGGGTGTTCGGTTTTATTTCAGTTATTCAGTTTTCGGGACAAATCGGGTTCGGTTCCAGATTATTTGATTCGGGTTATCGGGTTTGGGTCAATTTTTCTGGGTTTAATTGGACCTCAATGTCATGGGATGACCTGGGGGCGTTCCAAACCCCCCAACTCAACCTCGACCCGAACACACCTCCCCAACCCTTTCAATTGCACCACACAAGTTGATTTTGACTTTGGAGTCAGATTTTGACTCCAAAGTCAAAATCAACTTGTGGGATGCAATTGAAAGGAGGTGGAGGGGTGTGTTCGGGTCGAGTCCGGGTGGGGGGTTTACCAGAGGATTAGGAGATAGGAACCGTTAATTTTACGAATGGAGCGCCGGAGCACCCCTAGATCATCCCATGATATTGAGGTCTAATGTCACTTAAAGCTTAGTGTCAAGACTCCAAATATATAGAGCGGAAGTCCCAATCCCCTAATTAGGGGTCTATTTTCGATTGACCAAACTTTATTTTCCATTTAAGTTTCATTTTCATTTTCACGAATGTCTATTCTAAAGTATAAACTTTAGGCCACTTAAAATATGGGGTTTGGGCCTTTAGGGGTTGGTGTGCTGCTACCAATGTGCCAGACTAGGGGCGCGTCCAGCGCCTATTGCACGTGTTCGCCGTGCCTTTGAATAAATTTTTTTTTTTGAATTTTTAAATTTATAAACTTACATCTCTTCAATTCATCCACTCTCATTTCACTCAATTACTCTGATATCTTCCTCATTTTCTCTCTCTCATCTTACTACGCAAAAATAAATCTTGGTGGCAACAACTTATTTTTCGAGGATTCTGACCTCAACGTTGTCATTTGATTTGCAGACAACAACAATAGTCCATACCAATTGTGCCCTATTTTTGAGTACCAGCGACAGCCCCTACCAATTTTCGGTCGTGGTTTGTGATGGTCCGTGATACTATCGGAACCTATCACGGACCGCTCTTGTTTAAACGTTTCGGTATCGGTACGGGATGAACCCCAAAACCATTCGATACGATTTTGTTTTGAAACGAAACGGTAAAAAAATAATGCTAATGGTAATGATAAATATAATAACAATAATAATAATGAGAGAGTTTAAAAATGAATAATAAATTACGAAGTATTCTATAAACGGTAAGATGAAGTAGACAAATACTCCATAATTATTTGAGATACGTACTCCGTATATAGCGTTGAACGGTTCGGTCCGTGATAATTGGTTTTAAATATATGTATCACGGTCCAGTCCCATTTGGTATCGATTCGGTTTCAGTTCGTGATGAAAAAACTCAATCCCATTTGAAAACACTATAAACGATTCGTTACCATTACGGTCTGGTATGGTACCATACTAGTTCGATTTTTTTGCCCACCCTTAGTTAATATGGCCAACTACGATGTTTTGAGTTTAATCCCATCACTAAAGATATTAGCAAAGGGGTAGGCCAAAAAGAATGACGGGCGGAAGGAGTATAACCCAGCAGAAAGTATGGCATTAGCGAGGTTCAACGTCGCCGTGTCGCAAGACCCGGAAGCCACATGGTATGATCAAACGTGATAGGGATATTCTTTAGAAACACTGGGGCGTGTGCTCTTAGAAGCCCAGATTGTATTGGTCACCAATTAAATGCAAATTACCTGTACTAATAATGAAATAATTTTGTAAATGGTTTTTAAAGGGTTAATCTTAAAAAATCATCTTTAAATTAACTAAGCAATACAATTCTTATTTACTTGTTGATCAAACATTTTTGTAAAATTCTAAAAGGTTTCTGGTAAATGTAATTTTTTCTATACAAATATGTAGTAACAAGCAATTGATTTTCTTGTTTCGTTTACAAATTCTGTAAGAATTATTATTTTTTTCTTTTCTATTCTTTAAAATCTCATATAATAACATAATTTGTTTTTCTCATAAACTTAATAAGAATTTCACCTAATTGTAAATTTTCTTGAAATTATACCGAGTATCACTTTACATTATTTCTTAAATGTCTAAAATTTTGACTTTCTCAAACTCTAACCTTTTACTTCCTTCGTTCCAATTTATAGTGCCTATCTCGGTTTACAATGTTTGGCTGAAATTATTTTTAAATCATTTTATATGACAAATGGTATAGAGTTAAAAAATAAAAATTACATATTAAAATACGACCTCAAAGAATCTATAAAATTAGTAGTAACAATATTACTTTATTTTATAAAATTGCTAACAAAAATAGAGAAAGGAAGTAAATGAAGTTTGGCCTTGTAAATAGTAAACAAACACTATAAATTGGAACGGAAGAAGTAATATATTAACTTCGTTCAAAAGTTTATTCGTTCAATTTGATTAAAAAAATCAAACTAAACAAATACTTTGAACCAAAATGGGTGTATTTTGTGCATATGTTAAACATGATTAGTCTTTAAATTGGTTAATTAGAAAGAATAAAAATGTTCAACTTAAGAAGTTGATGGTGAGTACCATATACATTGTTGATATTATAAAGGTTGGGTATATTCCTTAGGTGATAAGTTGAGATTGGTATGAGTTGAGTTCTCAAGTTGTAAATAATTTGTTAAACACCAGGAAACTTAGCAAGATTAGTGGTAAAAGCCATTCAATCTGGTTATATATTCTAATAGAAAGGATGGAAAGAAAAATACAGACATAACACTGAATTCACAACAAAGGATCAAGGAAAATCATACCATATGGTCTAACAAAAGTTACTAAATTAAGCTAATGTTATAGAGCACTAAATACACACCGGAACACCAATGGTCGCGGTTCTCAAGAATTGAAATGAAGAAAGTATTACTCGCTATTACGGATATCCAAAAGTCGCACAAAAATACACGCTAGCAATCGATCTGCAAGTCGTGCTTGACATGCTATTTGGCAAGACTAGAGGGACCAAAGGTTCATGTCTTGAGTTACCATCAACCATATAAACAAGACGACTTGGGTGTTAATTGTTAAATTACTTTGCTGATAAAACATATAAACAAGACGACACCAATCTCATCTCCAAGGCCGGATAACAAACCACTCCTTGGGTATTGGCCACCTGAAAATGAGAGATACCACACCAGATTACCAGGATTGTCAGCATAACTAGAAGAAGAAGAAGCATAATGATGCTTCAGTAAAAACCTATAATGATAAAACAAAGCCTTTACTACTTTCATGACAGATCAAAAACCATTCCCATGCACAGCTAATGTAATTCTAAAATCAAACCACTTTCATTCATACACAAGAAGAATTTTACCGATTCCGTCTTTTGGGCCTCTGAGGCAATAGGGTCAGTGTCAAAGGTGTCTCACAACCCACTCTCTTCACAATCACTTCCAGGGGCCCATTTGCCTTGTCCAACACCAAACCCTTAAACTGTTTGAAAATAATGTGAAATACAAATATACAGAGTATATGTATAAGCAAATATCCATTGTCACCACAAGTTTATTCAACCATAAGATACAACTATGCAGTATGATGATACGACAACACAAACAATGCATACAAGAGATAAAAGAGATACCTTGAGGGTTCTCGTAACAGGCATTCTGTCAAGCTGAACTATGACATCACCCCTACACAATCCAGCATGAGAAGCAGGGGATTCTGGCTCCACCTAGTTAACATCAGCCATTATAAGAAATTATACAAGATCAAGTATCAAAGAGCAAAGTGGCTGAACAATTACAACTGATAAAAAGATACACACAGGAAACATTGACAAAATAAAGAGAAAGGAAAGCAAAAAAGCTGTGAGAAAGAAGAGATTATTTCCGAGAAGTATATTGACCCTACCTTTTTAAATGGATCAAAATTATTGAGTCTCAAATGACTAAAGTATTATTATCATGTTCCAACAGCACAAACCCAGTAGTATTTAAACAAAATAAAACCCTTTCTATCGCATTCAACAACTAAAGTGTCTAGCTTCATTTTCAGAAATGACTTTCAAACAACTGAAACAAGAACACAAACCTCTGTGACAACAACACCTTCTACAAGCTGAGGGAAGGTCTGATTTATCTTTTCGAGCTCGCCCAATCTTAGTGTGTGAAGGTCAGATAATTTTAGTCCAAGCCATGGTCGAGGAACTTTACTGAAAAAACCAGGGTCAAATACACAAATTACATACAAAAACACCAACAACAACCACGGAGGTAGGGTCTAGGGAGATGTGTGCACGGAGACCTTACCCCTACTCGGAAGTAGAAAGGAAAAACACAAATTACATGCACATAATAAATAATTCAGCTCCTTGTGGCATCGAATATAAAGAAACTAATTTTTTTCCATTAAAACCGGGCCAGACAATTGCAAATTATACACATTTAGTCCTCCAACAAACTGAAAAATGCCTTTGCAACTCAAGAAACTTACTTAATTTGAGCTATTCTGGATTAACGTCAATTTACTTTTTGGAAGTCATACTTTATTAGATGACGAAATGGAAACAACTCCCATAAATGTAAGAGCACATAAGTTGACAACTCCTCATTTTTGCATTATTACATGAGAGATATCAGGGCTTACCTGGATGTGCGCAAATGCTCTAAACATCTAAGAGCACTGTTGATAAGTGTCTCATTTCCTTTTCTAGTGTGTAATAAGTGGGTAATGCTGTGTTTGTGCCCCCACATAATCTCACAACTTGCATTCTCCTCCATTTGTTCTCATTGACATAATATTAAGGAAAAATAAAATGCGATGCTTAAAAATAAATGGAGGGAGGAGTAGCTAGTGATGCATAACCAATAACTCTTCTCTCTATAGGATGCACGTTAAATTTATGTAAGAGACCATTGTTTGTAGATATTAAACAACCTTTAATCAAGAAGATTTTGAAAGAAAGTATCTAAGATCTAACACAGTAACTGAATGCATACCACTACATTCATAGGTCATGCAAAAAACACACACATGAGATAGATTATATACTTGTGTGTTGTGTCCTACAAGATCCTCCTATTTACAAAAACTTGACCTCACATGTCTACGATGACAAATGCTTGTAACATAACAACAACAACCCAATTGGATCCCACTACAGTAGGATCTGGGGAGGGTGTGTGTACGCAGACCTTGCCCCTACTCAGAAGTAGGGAGGCTGTTTCCAAGAGATCCTCGGCTCAACCTGCACAAATATCCAAAGTAGGGAACACAATATAACAGGATAACAGGATATAACATGATATAACATGATAAAGCACCAAGTACAATATGCTTGTAACACAAAACAATAAAAAAAACCATGGCAAATGCCCAACGAATAACAAAAGAAATAACTATAAGCAATGTTGATCCTTGTGCATGTTCCATGACCTACTTTACTCATAGGACTCTTCGATCTTTTTCCAATCTAAAATATCCACATATAAATGACATTAATTGACAATTTGGGCTCTAACTCCTACCAAATAAACATGAACTCTTGTTCCCTTTGGCAAATATCTCATGATACAATACGTAAGAGAAAACATACTTTGTCTTATTAAAAAAGAAACCAATGGCTTATTAGCATGCATATTAGGACTAAAAGGTTAAAAACAAAGAAATAAACTATATTGCCACTGTCCCGCTACATTTGTCCCACAAATTTGAATTAGTCCTCACAAATTTAGATAAAACGTGGTAAGTGAAATAGGACAAAGAGAGTACAAAACATCACCTTTGTAATTCGACAACTAGTCATGAGTAGGTCCTCACAATCTAAACCACTGTCTTCGAGCCTGCAACACACAATAAGGACAAAAGGTAGTTATGAGACGCTAATGTATCCTTTAAATTTATCAAGAAACAAAAGGATAGTACTCGACTAAGAGCCACATAGCTTATTTTTAAATGCAAGACGTCATATTTTCATCACCGCTAACACTACCCCACATGGTAGGTAAAATTATCAACACATTAACCTTTGAATCATCCAGAGCTAAACATACTAGATAATTACATAAACAGATTATGGGCTACACATCACAGAATACAAAAAAACATGTTTGCCTGAGCACGCCAGGAGCAGCCATAATATGGTATGGTGGATCATGATATCGACCTAACACAATCACATCCATTAGAGAGGAAAGATCAACTGCAGTCTCACGGTGGGGTACAAGCTGGAAAGATCTAGAACTATGAGTGCGCATTGGAGCCATAGAGGAGCCATCAATATTTCCAATGACAGCAATTTGAAGGCATGCAGTAGACTTGAATGACAAAGAGCAGACGTTATAGTGGAAATCATATGACTCTACTTCAGCTCGACATAAGCTGCGATTAGATAGATAGACATCCACCTGTATGTAAAGTTACGGGGTGAGGTAACAAAAGAGTTTCATGAGATGAGAAACAAAGTTAGAGAATAAGTTGGAAATAAAACCTTTAAGTCATCGGGTAAGACAGATTTGTGGGAGGAACCTCTAAGTAAAGAGGCCGACGTTAAAATCGTATAACAGAAACCATCATCAACATTATCACATTTGATTAGAATCCCAGAGCAAGTGAACAAGTGGTTGGGACCAGAAAACGAAATCAGAGATACTACACAAGAGGAAGCCTGAAGGGCCGCAGATTTAGTAACAAAATCCAACCCCTGGTTAGCCTGAACATATTGATCAAATCTTCCAAAGTGATCCCGTCTTTCGTCCCGTGTATCTGGACAACCATAGTTAGTTCGGTTTCAGCAAACATAGTGAGTGAGGATGATATAAAAGCAAAGAAAAGAAGAAGAAGAAGAAGAAGAAGAAGAAGAAGAAGAAACCCCAAGGCAGTGAAAGAGGCTCTGCTCTCTTCCAGGGGTTGAAACGAGGAGCTGGCAGGTCCGTCAATGTCTGCTTCAATCCACGACGCTCCATCCCTAACTGCCAAAATATGGCAATTCAACCCGAACTCGAGCTTAACTGACCCGACCAACCACTAAAATATCTAAACCCAAACCGAGAATAAAATAATCCGAACCTAACCCGAAATTTTTTATCCGAACCCGACATCGGGTTGAGTCGGGTGTGGGTTTAGTATTTTACCAGACCCGACTCAAACCCGAATATTTATTAACATAAAAACCTATCTATGGATATAATGAGCACTCCGTATAATGTATTGACAAAGTGCTACTATATCAAATATGCCTTTTATAATCATTTTTTATAATTTCTTAATAAAAAAATGAGACACAAAAAAATTAGATGAAATCTTTTTAAAATTATTGGGGTACACCGAATTAATTATTAGATAAAAGTCGGGTTCGGGTCAGGTTCGGGTTTCTAGTTGGAATGTCGGGTTCGGATCGAGTTCAAGTTTTGGCTTAAAAAGTCAGGTTTCGGGTCGGGTTCAGGTTTCGATTTTTAAAGTCGGGTCGAGTTCGGGTATAGTACTATGCGACCCGAACCGGACCCGTTGTCATCCCTACTTCCATAGAGCAAAAAGATTAGCCTGAGCCCTGAGGTAGGGAGGTGTGGTGAATGTTAGGCTTTTCTTTTGACAAAGAAGAGAGAAATTGATTTTGAAATCGGAAGCCCATATTGACTGGGCTTGGTCAATTGCCCCATCTACTAAAAAAACTAGAGATGATATCATTTCGAATGGTTCGGTGTTTTAGAAAAGAGTATCATTTCTTCTAAAGATCGTCATTCCTTTGATGATGTGAAAAATGCTTTTGATAAACTCTGTAAAGAATTTGTAAATGCTTCCATAACAACCAAATGTTTGAAGAAGCAATTTTCCTCCTTGGAGGAAGGAATTGAAAAACTTACAAAAGATAATGAAACACTAAAAGAAGAAACTAAGTTTTTCATAAAAAAAGCGTCGACAATCCGAGATTTCAAAATGTGAATCTTGTATATTACTCAAAGAGAAAAATACAAAACATGCGAAGGCACTATAAAGAAGTTTAATACTTCGCACACAAATCTCAATAATGTTCTTGATTAGTTGTAATCTTCTAAAAATGGAATTGTTTTTGTAAATGAAAGTAATGACAAGGAAAAGGTTGAGCCAATAACTAAACAACGAAGGCTCAGCCGCTCAGCCTAGAATAACTAAAACTAATCCTAATAGGCAACCTAGAATTGTTAGGAATACTAGACCACCCAGAAGGAACACTAGGTCTAAAAATGGTCATTTTAGAAACCCTTAAAACAATCTTTCAAACTACAAGAAATTCAAAATAAACTACAAGAAATTTGCAAATTTGCGATGCCCCAATTTCCGGTGTACAATACAACAACATTTGCGACAGTTGATGTCATTGCTAATTAGTCAGATGGCCTTTGCGAGGGAATTAAAACTCCTTACAATTACTGTAATACCCTAATTTGAAAAAAAATGGATTGGAGAAAGAACAAGCTAAAAAAAGGACTGACAGTACTACTAATACCAACAAAATGTATCTTCTTTTCGAGAGTTCATCACTCAGAAATTTCAAAGTTAAGCGTGCTTGACTTGAAGAAATTCTAGGATGGGTTACCCCTTGAAAATTTTCTTAGGCATGCACGAGTGAGGATAAAGTACGCACTTGTGTTGGTTTATGGGAGTCACTCTACAATTCTATGAGCAGACACTTACGATCAGGGTGGGGCCAGAGTGTTATAAATGATATCAGAGTAACCATGTGACCGTGACAGGCCAACGAGCATAATTCACATAGCAGGGTAGATCTAGGGGTTTAAAAGAAAGGATGCAACGAGGATGTTGATTTCCAAAGTGGGGCTGAATGTAATTAATAACCTTATTTGGAAATAAATGAATTAGAGAAAGAATTGAAAAACCTCAAAAAGAATTGACAGTACTACTCATATCAACAAAGTACATCTTTTTTTTGAGAATTTATCTCTCATAAACTCCAAAGTTAAACTTGCTTGACTTGGAACAATTCTAAGATGGGTAATCCCTTGAAAAGTTTCCTAGACATGCACGAGTGAGGATAAAATGCAGAGAAAAGACTTGTACTGATTTGTGGGGCCAACAATCCTATAAGCAGACACGGTGGGACCGAGGTGTTACCATTACAATGGCGGGAAGCTTGCCACTAACTTTCTATGATGACCTATGCGATAGTTAGATCCGTAGTATACAAAATTATATTTAATCGTATTAAATTATGCCTTTCTAGGAAAAGTTTGGCGAAGGAGAATGTCTGTCATGTGAAATGCAACAAACGAGATCATTTTTAAGTTCTTTGCATCGTGCATCTACAACAGGACCATATTCTTAAATGCCCCAAAATGTTTGCAAATTCCCAAAACAATGCAATTTATTATAATTTATAAAAATGATATACAAATAAACCGATTTAAGTTTTTTGTTCTCCTCAGACATTCGAGTTATGATTTTTGTAAAGTCAATTTTACTTGGTCTTATGTGACCACAAGTTATGTGAACCACACAATGCACACTATTAGACAAATTGAGACACTTGCAAGTTACATTTCACTTTCTAAAAACGGAAATAGATATTAAAAAAGAAATTGGGGGTGCTGGGGGAAGGGGGAAGGGGGGGAGAGGTTATTGTAAATTCCGTATCATTTGGATTGTGATTAGCATAAATTATATTTGGATCGCCAAGGTTAAAGCGACACCCATTTTGTGTGCCATATGATATGAGACTATCGGTCCAATTACGGGTCATACGATGTCCTGTTCAAAAAAAAAACCCGGTAAACCGTCCCATCTAGGCCCGACCAAAACCCACCTCCGTCAATGAACCCAAAAAAAAATTAGTTTACTTTTTGGTAAAAAAAAATTAGTTGCCACTAATCCATCCAAAAGTTGACGAACTAGGCATGCCATGGTAAGTACTTGGGCACTCCAAAACAAAATTTCCGATCCTGAAGGCATAGTTTATTTGGCTTGTCAAACTTGTTAAATGAGTCTCCGAGTTGTATCCTACAAAAATTAGCTGCTTTTCATAAAAAGATAGGCCCATTTTCCTGCACTTAAAGAAGCCACCTGGAAAAAATAAAAATAGAATGGATAGACCAAAGAAAAAGGATGTTTCAAATACAATAACCAAAAAGAATTTGAAAGAATTTTCCTGGAACAGATAGGGGTTACCTGGGCATCTCAGGCCGGGTACCGACAGTCAAGGTAACATTTTTGTGCCCTACGCTTGGTCTTACAATCTCCAACTTCACCGATTTCCCTTCTTTGTCCCACAATGCATCAACCAGCTGTTGAAAGAGAGATGGGGAAGGGGATTGTTTGAACTTTGAAGTGAGACCACTTCACATAATTAACGGGACAGAAACATTGGTTTAACTTATTCATTTGACTAATGTTTCACAAATAATGTAAGATGACATACCTCAAGCTGGCTCCGAATTTCGGTTTCACCACATTTGATTATAACATCACCAATGCATAGACCAGCTACACTGGCAGAAGACTTTCGCACCAACTGTTTGACAATAAAAGACTTAAGTAAATTAGGAGGGAAACTCTAAAAGGTTGCACAATTTCTTATCATGTATAATACCTGCCTCCTCTTCTTCGCCCTTGATGTAGTTTTCCCTGTTCTCGTCATTGTTTTGGACCTCTTTCTCTGCTTAGTCTGCATAACCAAATAAATCACCATTTCATCCATGTGCACCCATCTCCTCGATCTTTATACGAACTAAGATACTTCAATTTGTAAACTTGAAAACGTGATCACACTGAGTTTCTCCAGTTTCTTATCCTTCATTTTTGTCTATAGATGCCACAAATTTTCCCAAAATTTTGATGGATCCAATGTATCGCAACATCTAGGCTTAGGAGTACGATGTAATACAGAAAAATGGCTCATTAAGAGATAAAGGGAGATCACACTGAAATGGATCCAATGCTTAGGAGATCACACTGAAATGGAGAGTACAATAAACAAAGTAAGCATCCATACTTTTTGAAGCATAGCTTTCGCCGTAAGCCATTTCCCGGTTGACCAGAAAATTGAATGGTGCACCTGGTACAATTGAGATAAAGGGTCAGCACGGGGAGAATAAGAAAACCAAGCATGCATGCTTTTCTAGGTGAGGTGTAAAAAAGATAAAACCTTTGTTCGCTTCCTCTGGGCATGATTGTTAATCTTTCCAGTGAGCTGCAAAAACAAAACCAGCAAAAGAAAATCAAAAGTTGACTTAAACGAAGTATGGAGTTCACCATCAACTCTATGCCTCCTTCAAAATGAATCAAGAATCATCATAGCAATCCATGATACTCACAGCAGGATAGGGACAGCCGGACAGGTAATTCACTCGACCGAAAACTTAATTCTAAGATGCACACTCAAAGTGAAGAGTATCCGAGATAAGGATACATTAAATACAGAAAGAAACTAACAAAATTTTCTGATAGGAAAATAAAACACACCAATAAGACAAACAGCCATCAGAGCACTAGAAGTCCTCAGAGCCTGAAAGTTCAGAAATTACATATTTCCATTTCTAAAGGCGTGACAATGAAATCCATCTAAAAAGAAGAGTAACAAAATTGTTTTCTAATAATCCTACTTCATTAGACTCTTTCCGATCGATTTTTAAGCACAGATTTGACAGAAACCACATATGCAATATTGGTGGAACAAAGAAAAAAAACAATGGGTCAATGGCCCTCAATGAAGCAATTTACAGCCTTTGAATCCTCTTTTGGAATCCTGGCAGGTAGCTGCTAGTACTCTTATCATGTGGACAAGAGACAATTAGCTGCTTGTACAATGATATAACATCTAGTACCCTAAACTTTAAACATACACGTCTGAACATCATTTCACCAACATAGATGCAGACCCTCAATGTACGTCTCAGGTATTTGATAAGTCCGTTTCGTTCTTATCATTTACATCATATTCTAAACGTTATTGCACGTAAATAACATTTAATCATCTCATGAAATGTGTTTTTAATGACCAAAACACTCATTTTCGTTCTAAGTATCATACAAAGGGATTCCACTTGAAATCATCATAAATCATCCATTTTATGTTCAAATACTTGAGAAAAAGGGAATAAATCATCAAAGGATCAAGATTCGGGCTTGAACGAGCTTTCGGGAGGTCAAAAACAGCGTTTGGGGCCAAAACGGAGCGAAATTGGGCCAAAATCACCAACCAGCCGCGAAGCCCACCAAGAGAAGGGCCTGAGGCGTCTAACTTGGACGCTTGGGAGTTGGACGCTTAAGCTAAATTGCAGTCCAAGAATGACACGTGGCAGAACCTGATTGGCCGGGAGACCCAAAGCGTCTGGACGCTTGGACTTGGATGCCTTGGCTCCGACTCTATATAAACAGCACCTCTCCTCTTCGTTTGAACACCATCTCAACCCATTTCGGGTTTCTCCCCTATTTTACACAATAATTCATTGTATATTAGTTTAGTTATTGTTTTGAGGTATTTTCCGGAGGATTTGACTCCCGATCTGTTCTGTTCCGCTTTTACGGAAGGTGTAAGTCCCCTTTATTTAATAAAATGTTGTTTTAATTTATGTTTGCATAGTATGAGTTAAGGTCCGGATCTCTGGGCCTGGACTAGTTTGGTTGTATATTTTGAATGTTATTAATGTTGGAATGGTTAGTCTATTGTTCTTGCCTTATTTAGTTAATTAATCTCGAAAGATTTAATTAGCTATTTATTGAGAAAATATTGTATGCCAAAGGGCTATGATATTCAAGTGCAACGGATTAAGTACAAATCTAGAAATAGATTAGTAATAATAAAAATATTATTATTCCAATTGTTAATTAAATATGATAAAATAGATCCAAATGATGTCCTGACCCTAGGTCCATATCTACACTTATACTATGTGAAATTAATTTATTATTTTTATTCTGCTCTTTTTATAATCGTTCCGAGAAGACTTTCATAAACCAATCCTAACCTTCGCCTAATTAGAGAAATTAACTAATTCCCTTCGTCCACTCCTTGAGAGACACGACACTCGGAGAGAAAACTAACCCTTTATTGGGAAGGTTTACTACCCGAAAAACTACGACTGTCAGTATTCCTATGGTAAGATATTCTACTAGGGTACTAAAACATAGTCTTCGTCTCTTAGATAAAACCTAGAACACACTAATCAATGTCTCATTCAAAAGAAATCAAACCTCTTCAACTATGACTCCTTTGGACACATTGGGAAACTTTTGATACAGTTCATCCAACGTATCTAAGTTAGCTGTGTGACATAAAAACCCATGTTAAAAAGCATAGATTTTCCGTTCAACATGGTTTAGCACCCAATACAAACGTACAAGAAGGGACCAAGCAAGATACTCCTACTCGAAAGACATGTAAGTCTGTAACTTGCAGCAGCTCTTTTGCAAGTAAAACAGAAAATATGAGCTGAAAGGTACAGTAATATCTTAAAAGCACATGTGTTTAGGAGCTTCGTTAAATTAAAAAAGTTCCAGCTCGGGTAAAAAAAGAAGTTACATCTCAGAGAAAAAAAGAGTTTCAATTTTAGCCAGACACACCTAAACAAAGAGCTGATGACACTCAACAACAAACCAGTTGGATCCCACAAAAGTAGGGTCTGGGGAGGGTGTGGGTACACAGACCTTGCCCCTACGCAAAAGTAGAGAGGCTGTTTCCAAGAGACCCCTGGCTCAAGCTGCACAAAAAGAACTGAGGACACTCAAAAAAAAAACTCAATCCCATGAAAGGAAACAAATTCATTCAGAGGTCATGCTATTTAAACAATGAGAAAGACATAATGATGACCATCAGACCATGCAATGCTAACCAAATTCATACAAGAACTAGATACACACACTAGAGAAATATATTTTCCTTCCTTCTTTTTCAAAACTATTTACAAGAAAAAAGTAGATTCAGCCTTCAGTTGAATGAAATAAGAGCTGAAAAGCTCAGTGAGTCAGTGGTATACCAGGATGTTAAAATTACACCAAAAATAATAAGCTCAATGCTTCAGCAACCAAATTAAGGCTGTCATTAATACAGAAAGTAGCCTCAGACAAGGGAAAACTTCAAATTTAAGCAGCACGCCTTTCCATCACATGTGTCTAAAGTCAAATTATCTTGTATCGACCAAATGAATTCATGTGAAAATACCAAATGAATTCACGTGAAAACTCTTGATCATGCTTATTAAATTGAATCTCCATAATTTTTTATGGATAGTTTTGCATATGAAAATACAAAGAAGATTTGTAATAGGTTGATGATAAGTCGAATAAACTCTTGAGGAATCAGATCATAACTGGAGTATATACTTTATCTTAATGAATCATAAAAGAGTACAAATTTTGAAATAACATTACGAACCAGCAGACTCCAATCTCAAGAAACAGAGTGATACAAGATTTAAGGAAAATTTTTTAAAACATTACCCATTTCTCTTCAAGTTCTCCAAACATTTCCAAACTATAGTAATTGGTACAAATGTGGCAAATGGGCAGATGAAGAAGTTGACACCAATGACTTCTCCATCACAATTGACAAGGGGTCCCCCAACAGCAAGCTGTAATAAATCCAATTTTTCAACAAGATGAAGTAAAGATGCATTGTAATTATTAAGCAAAAACAGTAGCATTTGAAGGATGCAAAGTTAACCGGGAGCAACAATGTCTCAGGATAAATAGGGGTTGGATGGGTCCCGAAAGAGCCAATATGGAAGTTGTATCCAACCGCCGAAATGCAAATTTAACAAAAGCACGAAGTGGAAGGACAAGAACGGAATTACCTTACTAACCACACAGCTCGTCATGAAAAGTTCTTCGTAATCGTGACAACAATCTTGAGCACTGATCAATAAGAAAATAATACTTGAATGAGTGACAAGGGTGTACAGGAAGGTCAGCAGGCGTAGGGTTAGTCACCTGTGTGCTGATATTATATTCAGGTATGATGAACAGTAATTTATGACCATTGTTAGTCTTGTTTCCCCAGTACCTAAAAACCCTCCAGTATTAAAGGGTAAGGAGGGAGGGAGCTTAGTTGCACAATCTTTACATTGCAAAGATTATTTTTTAACCAACCCAAATACCGAAAAACTGGGTGAGCATCTATCGCTTGTTTGCTTCATGAAAAAGCACATGAATTAATTTGCTTCATAAGAAGTACATAGGAATTTAGAAGCCAGGCTTGTTTCATTTACAAGTCATCAGGGCTAAACTTTGACCCCTTAATTATTTTTCTCGTCATGTAGCATCAAATATCTTATTTAGGCATTTGTAAATATTTAATGAACGGAAAACACCATCTCATTAAATTTTAGCTTGACTTACATCTTAAACAATTCATGGTCAAAGAGTGTAAGATAATCTTACTGTCATGGAAAAAGTATACCAAAAACGCACACCATACAACACGTTAAGAAGATAAATACATACCTAAATACACCAGGAGAAGCCATGATGTCATAACGATCCCCACAAGCACGGCCTAAAGCTATTACAAGCTTCCCGGGACTGAGATTGAAGGGCATAGAAGTATTTGGTAAATGCTGACATCGGCTTAGTACAGGCTTCTTCGAAACTAATTCTAAAGAATCAGTAACATCACGAATACTTGCAGTTGACAAAAATTTGCTAGACATGATCTTGATAGTTGCTACATTATAACAAAAGTCATAGAACAAGACTTGACCTTCATATAATTCACCATTAAATAAATATATCTCAACCTGCAATAGCATAATCATTTGTGTTAGCCGACAAGAAGTGATTTCCGGAAATAAGGTTTTGTTACTGTAAAAGCCAAATGAGAGATCAAAAAAACTACAACGGTCGGACAAACAGAAGCGGGGTTCAGATATACAGTACAAAGTACGAACATTTAAAGCTTGCCAAAAATATTCTTGTTTGTCTTTGTATTATCTACCCACCAATTTCATTACCTAATCTGCACTGCTCATTCGGGATGCCCTTGTTAAGAACAAAAGCACACACACACGAATAGAAAGCAAGAAAGCAATAGAGAACACGAGATTTAACGTGGTTCGGTCTAATCTGACCTACATCCACAGGGGCAACTAGGGTTTGTATTATTGAGTGATGATGATTACAAGTACAGGAGATCAAATATATAGACAACTAATTAGGGTTTAACCCTTGCTGGACAAGTTATAGCAAACTGGGCTTAAAACCATTTGGGCCGGCCGAAACCCTAATCTGGTCTCCTAATTCTCAGTTGTCTACAAGTGGGCCACTTTGGGCCGATGACTACACATCACCAACA